GAAACAGGTGGCGCCTAAGTAATACCAGATGGTGGCCGTTCCCTCCCCTGGGAGCCATCTGGGACAGCTGGGTGGCCACCAGAGGGTTCACCTGGGAGGCCTCGGCTGCGCTGGCTCCAGGGGCCCCTTGGGGGGCAGGGCCGGTCTCCCATCATCCAGTGCCCGCTGGCTGCCTGCTGTTCAACAGGGTGGGGACCAGCGTGTGCCGAAGGAGCCGGGGATTCTGCGAGGGGCTTCTGACCTAGTTTGTCCCATCCGAGTCTGGAGTTTTGATGTCACCACGAGCCCAATGACGATTACAGGGAGAAGCATGGGGCTTTGTTCCTCTTTGTCCTGGGCTGGTCCTGAATGAGACACAAAGGGGCGGCCGAGCCCATGACTAAGAGAAACACTGGATCCGTGGTTCACGATTCGAGACTCTCCGAGGTGCAGACCTGCTGTGGGGTCATCAGGTGGTCCTTTGGCCAACCTTACGCTTTCTGCCCGTGTTTATTTTCTGGCTTCCCCTCCTGGGTGTGCCTGTCCTTCCTCCCTCTCCTGTCCCCATCACCCAGAGGAGAAGCCCCAAATCTGCTGGAAATAGGGAGCCTCAGAGTTGCCCCACCAGCAGAAACCCCTGTAAGCCTTCCTTCGGGTGGCTGAGAGGCCAGCTGGGGACCAGGAACTTGGTTTGTCTTCTGGCCTGTTTTGTCTCGGCTTGAAAAAACAAACAAACAAACCCATCCTACCTGGCCTCCCTTTACAAAATCCAGGAGCACCGTTGACAGAGTGCCTGGTGTGGGTCCGGGGCAGTGACCCAGCTGCTCTGTGCTCAGAGACAGCCACCAGGCCTAGGGACAGGGGCGTATAGGCTCTGGCTCAGGGGGTTTCTCCCAGCGACATCCCCTTGAGGGTGGGCTCGGTGTCTCCTCTCTGCCTTGTCTGGCCTCTGAGTATGCTGTCTGTGCCCGGCCCCCTCAGGCCCCGAGGGAAGCCCCTCTGTTGTGCTCTGAGTGATGGAGAAGCTCCAAAGTGGGGTGCAGAGGGGGGAAGGGTGCTCAGGGCTTCCATGGAGAGAGCTCAGGAGGTGATCCGGAGTAAAGCTGATGAAGGAGGACTCAGGAAAGAGAAGCATCAATAACAAGGCAAGAATATAAAGGCCAAGAGCCCTATTTCCATCCGTAGCCCCAGGAAGGGGCTCCCAAGGCCTCCGTGGTGGCAGCTGGGGCAGCCGTGAAAGCAGGGAGCCGGGACTTTAGTCTCAGAATAGGGAGTGCGGTGTCTCCCTCTGGCTGCCTTGAGGCCCATGCTTGTTTGCATGGCTGATGTTTTGTTTTGTTTTGTATTGTTTTGTTTTTTAATGTAAAACTCCACCTCAGATGGAAATGACTAGGAGGTGGGAAATGACCGGGAATGAATGAGCCTGGTGGCTGGCAGGGATCCTGTAGGGGTCGGTGGCTCAGTCAGCAAGGACCCCGGGACAGGCCAACTTGTGTCTCTGATAAAACAGCAAGAAAGGGCCTACTGGGTGCCAGACACATGCTCTGGTCTGATGTGTGATCGCCTCTTCCCAGACGTTCGGTCTGAAGACCTCCAAGTTCATGTAACTGGCCTTCACCTCCAAGTCAGGGTTTTCACCTGCTCCACTTGGCCCAGAACCCCAAGTCTGAGCCCTTTCTTCCCAGAGGCTGGTGGGGCCTTTGGGGGAAAGGTGGAGGGTGACGCGAGGAGGCCGGTGGTCCGGAGTGGGGGAGGGGGGCATGGAGTGATGGACATCATGGCCCAGCAGCAGTAGCTCTCCGGTGGCCAGAGTGGGGGCTGGGTGCTCCCTCGGAGAGAGGGAAGAGGAGGCGCTGGGGACATGATCCGGTGCCTCCTCGGTCCCTCTGCTGTGACAGGCTGCTCAAGACAGCAGGAAGGGGACGTGGCCTGCGGCTAAGTTCTGCTCTCTTGGAGAGCCAGGAGTGTGTCACCGAAAATAACTCAAGGTTGGAGAATGCCAGGGTCCCTGCCCGGGCCCTCCAAAATCTCTCTCCCCCATCTGCCTCAGAATTAGGTTTTCCTCGGGACACCTGAAGCTGGAGCTGACGGTTTCTACTCTGTGCTAGAAGTTTCTGTTTTCTTGCAGGTAAATGGGGAGAATGTGGTCACTTCCTTTAAGTCTTTGCTCAAGTGTCAGTTACGTGAACTCCTGAAATCAGGGTTGTTTCAAACTGTAACTCTGCTCCCAGCCCTCTTGATCCCCTTCGCTCCTTTATTTTG